TCCGTGACCATCTGCTCCATAGCACAGTCATTAAGAGTGTCTAGAAACTCAATCTCTTTTTCTCGACTAGAACACATATTGACCCAATCAATGTGTGGGTAGTTAAAATAACCTATTATGACAGATTTTTTGTATAGCCGCTATCTTTAATTCATTCATCATTTTATAATCCTCCTCTATTTTTTGATCTGGTGGATGATAGCAAAGTCCCAGTATGAAGTTTCCTTTTGGGCCCATTATTTCAACCCATAGTATTTCCAGAAGTGAATCCAATTCTCTTACCCTCTCAGTCTTACTGGACTGTATACCCTCTCTGATATACAGAGCCACCCCACGCTGAGTCTGCGGAGGAACCCCCATGGCCTTTAGAAGAGGCAGGTACTGTAGAGCCTGAGGGCTACAGTAGCGGTCAAGAGACAGGGCAGACCCCTAATTTTGAACCGCATGCAACGGACGGGGATGTTCCTGACTCTGAGGTCCCAGAGTCAAACGGAGTACCACTGAGGGACAGATGCCCTGAGACGAGTTCACCTCGTAGGTCTCAGAGAACGAGACGTGCACCCACCTACCTAAGTGATTACGACTGTTCATGAGGTATTTTGCTTAGGGGGGAGGGAATTGTAATGTATTCATAGCTGCCATGAGTACAGGAGGTTTTATGTGAACCATCACATAGGGAAGCAATGTTAAGCTTCGTCTTGGACAGAGGATTCTAGTCCAAGACTCACGACCAATCACATTCAAGCAAGCTGCAAGCGGGAACGTTTGTGATTGGTCCTTATGCGCTCAACCTGATAGGTTGTTATGTGTATAGTGGGAGTGGCTATGTTAGCCGGGAATGTTTAAATACCGGGCAGTTTCAATGGGCAAACTGTTCGGGCTATCAGATGTTGTACCGTGTCGACGAAGTGAATGAAGAGCTGAATAAACTTGAGTCTTTGCTGAAATCACTCTCCGACTCATTGTTAAGCGCCGGACTTAACACGGTCAGTACACGGGTTTGCTACCCAGCTGTCTACCTGCCTAAAGATCAAATCAGCAACTGCCAAAAAAAACCCTCTCCCACCCTGCCCAGGGATGGTTCCTTGGTGCGAAAGGATACCCATTCACCAGCAGAAGAGGTCCCTTCTGAGAGCACATTCCCCTTATCCTCAGCACGGCGCCCTGTTTCCCCTTTTCCCTTATGCTTCCTGACAGTGGTGGGGCTGCCAGATCTAGAGTGGGACATACCTAACAAGTCCCCGAGAGTCTTCTCTCTGCTAACATTGACACACTGCACTACATATTTCTGGAAGAACTTCAGTCCAAGGCCTTTGTGACCATTGTAGGTAGAGTATATCTCATTCTATGGCAATAAGACTGAGCATATATTTTATAGGAAAGGTGTTCATGAACAAATTTTTGGAGCGGTGTGGTCCTGGCCCAGTGATAATTTCTTTAAGTTGATTGTAGGTAACTGCAAAAGATCAACAAAATCTATGGCTATTACGCAACCCATGTGTCAAATTCTGATTTGTTTGAGAACATGTGTACCTCACCACTACCATTATTGTATGCAGTTCAAATACAATATGGTAAAACTTTTTAGACTCATTTGTGGCTGCTTTGCATGAATATACAATATTATATACTTAAAGAATGTGATAAAGATACCAGTGTCTAAAAATGTTTTTAAATGGATGTTTATCATATGCTATCTTGACTGATATTTTATAATGAATCCACAGCTTGTGCAAACATTAAAGAGCATCAAATTACCTTGAACGGTAGATTACTGTGAATGGTGTCTGTTTTAATGGAGTTATAATTGATTTATTGAGCAAACATTGATGGCAATTTTGGTTTCCGCCTGCAACACTTTAGGTCTGCCAATGTGCAAATTTCAGTTGTTTGGGGAAAGACTGTGGGGGTGAGGAACCCAATCCCAACATTTTATCACAAATATCCCCCATAAATGAATTTTTTTTACCACTTGCCACTCCACTGTCATCCTGTTACTACACACATGTAGAACTAATGCATAACCTTTTTGGAAATCATAGCTTCTGGCTGAAGTCGAACACTTCCTGGGTTGTTGGATGGGCTTGATTCGAAGTATGTGTATCAAAATACAGAGCATTCTTTTTCGATTTTCCAGTTATTGCAGTCATGCTTCTTCCTGATGAGACCCAGTACAACAAACAAATGTAATAAATAATGCTGCTTATCAAAGTAACTAATTGCACAGTGAAACTCAGAGGCTCTGGCAGTGCTGAATTGAATTCTTCAGTGTATCTTTTGTTGCATATATTAATCATTTTGTATAAGGAAACAGATTGTAGACTCTACTGGGTCGGAAAGACTCTGGCGTGAACAGGTGGAAGAGGTCTAGCTCTCAACAGGTTGACAAAGCATTCAGTACGCCAGCACACTTCGCCATATGTACCATAACAACTTACTCTGCCAACAAACAACAAACAGACAATGGTTTTCGAAGTCTTCACTTTTATTTTACAAGTTAAATATCTACATCTAGTTTTTAAAACCTTGTAAAAATATTCTGTGTAGTTCAGCATTTGTCCAGCTTCTCATGAAATCAGCCATTTGTGGGTGAATAAATATGTGGTTCATTTGAGCAGAACTGTGTGGGAAATGACAATATTTGAGTGATAAATATATGCTATTGTAGGTGGCTTTGTTTGGAAGCAACGGCACAGGCAAATACTGTCTCATCTGTTTGTTTACAGAATGTCGTGTTATGAAATCATCTTACTCCCGCTCATCAGGCACGCCAAGATATTCTGGATCAAAAAGCCCTGGTCCTTCACGTAGAAGCAAGTCGCCTGCTTCAGGTACAACTTTTAAGAAAGAGATGCATTTCAGGTTTAAAAATGAACTTTACGATATGGCATGGCTATAAAAGATGGCTTGCAGCTACCTCAGTGTTCCCTGTTCTCCACTGATTTTTCCCCACTTTGAGTCCCTCCTTTTTATAGTGGCAACAGTGGTTTATAGAGGTTCATAAACAAAAAGTGTGGGCCTTTGTCCCCAACAACTGTACAGTCTGAAACTGATAATGGGAAGTCAAATGAAAAGAGCAAAGATAGCAAGGGATAGTGTGAAACAGGTACAGGCTGCAGTTGTAAGAACACTTACCCGGGTGTAAGACCTATATAGTGTATTTGAGTAGGATTGCAATGGAAGGAAGGGAGAAAGGTGATTTTCTTTACTGGGAAACCCTTAAACTAAAGGTTCCCTGGAAAGAACCCAGTAACAGCTGCCACCATTCCAGGTATCCTCTGAGAACATCTAGACTGACCCACTAAGAAGGTTTCCTTCTAGCACAGTACTGAAGCAATAAAGGTAGCTCAGCAGTTTGAGACCCTAGTGCCACGTGATGGAGTGAACTCCCGTCTCTGGTCCCAGCTCCTGCCAACCTAGCAGTTCGAAAGCAAGAAATTGCAAGTAGATAAAAAGGTACTGCTTCTGTGGGAAGATAACAATATTCTATGCACCTGGGTGTTTAGTCATTCCGGCCACATGACCACAGAAATGTCTTCGGACAGCTCTGGCTCTTCGGCTTGGAAATGGAGATGAGCACCAACCCCCTAGAGTTGGGTTTGACTGGCTTTCGAGCAAAGGAAATTTTCACCTTTAAACCACGGAGAATACCTTGGAAAAAACTATATAGCATCTGTGTAGTCTATCACGAAGGGAAGAGAATAAGAGAAATACTCCAGATAAATATGATGTACTGAAAAAAAGCAAAAAACCATTTTTTTTAAAAAAAAAAAAATATATTATAAAGAAAGAAAGAAAGAAAAGGGGGGAAATGGAAAATGGTGGTTGGATTCAAAATGGGTAGAAAAAGGCAACCAAAAAAATTACAGGGAAATATACACAATAACACAGCACAGCATACTGGTTTTCAAAAAGAAGCCATTCATTCAGTCTCTTAGCTATTTACACCTTATATAGATGGTAGCATATTCCTTGCACTAACAAGATGTTGAAGGAGTCCTTAATTTCTGCCTAACCTGCTGTGGACTCCGTTTTCTGCTGGAGACTGAAGACAAGGGAAAATCCCAAATGTACAGAAATTTGTGGTCAATAGAATTTGACCTAAGCCAAGCTCCTCTCTTAGAGTGACAGGATGATCTAGCCAGTCTCATGCAATGTCCCATTTCTGGTGTCAGAGGAAACGTGACCAATCCAAAAATTACTAAAATGATAGTCCCTCCTGCCAAGTAGCTGTTAATGACTTTGAACTACCATGATGTATAGTTGCTCCAATCCCAGAGTGGTTTGTCCTTTCTTTAAAAAAAGTTTTAACTTTGGCAACATGGCCCAATATGGAATGGGAATAGATGGGTTATTCTAATGTAAACCCCAAGGTTCCAAGATCCCAGACACTCTAAGTGGCAGTCTCTGCCATACCAAAGTTTTAGGTTTTCTGTCACAAGGCTAATGAGATGACCTGCTTAGTATTGCTGCCAAGAGGCTCACACTAAAGCTTAGCTACTTTATTAAGTACTCTTCTCTGATGCCACTACTTCCACACTACTATTTCTTTTCTTCTCATTCCTTTTCTTTCCCCTATCCTTACCCTGAAGTTTTTTTTTCAAAATGTCCTGAGAGTCTCTGCTTGGCCAAATTTCCTGATCACTTGAGGCTGTGTAGTGGATCTGTTTAATTATGTGTTCAAATTTTCCTTCAGTATCAAAAATGTTATTTTTCAAAAAGCAGTTTCTTGACAACCGCAGAAATACTGGAACATACTGGCAATTTGTTGATTGCAGGGTAACTTTTTGTGTCGGCAACACAGCATCCACTCTACCTCTCACCCTACCATTCTTCTAAGGACCCAGTTTTATCCCAGTTTCAGAATGACACAATTTAAGAATAAGTTTCTTTAAAGATCACTATACAAAAAAGGAAATATTGGTTCACTTGAAGATTTGCTGAAAAGCAAATAGTGGTTCATTTTTCTTTCTCATTTTGTTTGCATTTGTTTACTTTACCTTCCTTCCTTTTATGTCTATGAATAACCTCTCTCCTATCTTTTTCCTTTGTGTCAATTGAATGAATGAATACAGTAAAGAGGGGTGGCTACTACTCCAGTACTTACTCTTCAGCAAAATCCCCAGGTGAGCCATTGCTATTATGGCTTTGTATCACCACCTTGTCTCCTGCATTTTCATTTTTCCCTCTATCTATTTCTGTGTACATATTACTTTGGACTGTGATTTGAAAAACTAAGGCAAGATGTCATTACCTTCTCCCTGTGTTCAATATCAGAAAGTAATAGCAAATGAGATTGTTATCGGTAAATCAGAGCTCAACAGATGGAATAGTAAAATTAATTTATTAAACTATACTTTGACCAGCATATAAGCAACAAAAAAATCAGAAAAGGGAGTTTCTGAAACCTTACAGCTAAATCCAGATTTTGAGGCAAAACCCTGCTTATTAGGGAACCTGGTCAGTGGTGGGATTCTTGTTAACCTTAGCTAAGTGCTGATGCACACATGGCTATCAGTTCATTATTCTCTACTCTTTGACTTGTAAGACTGTCCATTTAAAAGTACCGTTTTTGAAGTGTTGTCTGGTAATATGAAAGCCCTTTACGTAAGAGATCTGTGATTGGCTCACTTGCTTATTCAGGCTGGGAGAAGCGTGGGGAAAATTAGGGAGGTAGAACTTTATAAACACAAAAAGTGTGTAAGAGTTCTACCATGGATCTTACACTGTTAGGGCTGCTGTTGCTGGGTGTTATCCCTGTCTGTTTGTATATTCAGCTGCTTCAGCTTCATCTCAGTCAGTCTACAGCTCACCCCTGAGTTCAACTGAACATCTAGGGTGCTTTCACACATACCAAATAACGCATTTTGAGTCCACTTTCAATACACTTTGCAACTGGATTTTACTGTGTGAAATGGCAAAATCCACTTGCAAACAGTCACTGGAGTGGATTGAAACTGCATTTATTTAGCATTTGTGAAAGAGCCCCTATAGTGGTCATGATTCACGGTAGTTGACGGGAGGCTCTTCCAGAGGCTGGTGGCTGGTATACATACTCTGGGCTAGGGGAAATGCCATTTTGTATTCCTTGGGGGGGGGAACCCTGCAGCTGATGTTACCTTTTGAAAGCTGCATTCTGAAAGCTGGTTGACATTTCTTATTGTCTTCTAATTGATCCAATGGGGATGAACTTGGGGGGGGGGGGAATCCAACATTATACAAACATAATGACATGAAATAATAAAATAAAATAGATAAATAAGACCATATACTTCTTGCTGTATGTTGTTGTTTTTAAAGCTTAGTTTGCAGCTTTCATTTCATTGTTTGGATACAGAACTAGGAATTCTTCCTTTTGCCAGTAAATGCTAATTCCCTGCGGAACAATTTATAATCAACAGATTAAATCTTTGGGAAGTGATAGTGACTTCTGTGCAGTCATATTATCAGTTTGTGTCCCAACTGTAGTAAAATTAGAAATTATGGAGTAGCTCATTTGGAAGACTCAGTTTGCCAGACAGGTTCAGCACCACAGGCATTCACACAGCAAAAACAATGGTGCTTGTTAAGTGAACGGTTCTGTTGCCTATTATAGATATTCTTTACACAGCTGAAGAAGTGTAGGTGGTAACTAGCATTTCCATGGAAACCAAATGTCTTGCTGGCAGGCTCATTTTTTCTTAAAGGAACAGCACTTTATCAAAAAAGTAGTTGAAAACAATCTTGCTCTTTGAAAAACCTCCTTTCCCCCCCTCATTTCACTAGGCATACATGGACCCATTTTTGTGAAGATGTGGGCAATATGTTTATCAGACAGCCTGGCAAATAAGCAAATGTGTTTTTCTTGTTAGCTTAATTTCTGGAAGATAAATGGACCTGACTGAGCTCTCATCTAACTTGGATGAAATGAGCCAAATTTCATACTGGATACAGAGAAGAGATTGCATACCTTGTAGCATACATTGTTAACTGAGGAGGAGGGAACACTGGTGTGCATGCAGAATGGCATGTCAGATTATCTTGCTCAGCGTGATTACTCTACCTCTAATGCAAGAGCGTAGTTGAGCAAGGATTAACTGGGATCATAAGTGGTAGTTTGGAAGCCAAAATGTTCCTCAGGAGGGTTCCCTTCCTGTAAAGCAGCAATGGATAAAAATTACAATTTATAGTGTGGTAGTTCTGAGGACAAAATTTGTAAGTGTTACTTTCCATCTGGTGTCTTTATTACCCTACTAGGACCTGCGCATAAAACAATTTCTTAAAGCATTCTTGTTTTAGTCCTGTACAACATATGCAGTATGTCTGGCCAAGTACACCTCCCCCCCCCCAACCTTTGTTTGACAGTACACCAACATCTTCACAGGTGTAGACATTGCATGGAGTTGCTGTAGCTCATCATAGTTAAGTTTTCAGCACAATTTCACTCAAAACATTTTCAAATGTTCTATATTGTTTCAGGGAAACAGTTAAACATGAAAGAAGAAATGTTACTTATGTAGAAAATCAAGTTTAATGCCACCATCTAATATCTCTTGCAGCACCTTATAAAATGAAGACATTAGCATCCATTGGCTAAGTGATGAGGTGTCTTGGAATCTTATAACCATTCTATCTTCTATGAGAATGTTCCTGACATGATAGAATGTTCACATGCTGTCATAGTTGTGGGAAATGAAAAGTTATTTGGGCTAAGATTAAAACTTCACATAGGCCTTAAAGATGAGACTAGCTGTGTAAACAAATTCGGGAGATGCAAACTGATCAGTTTAGTGAGAAGCGGTTCTTAGAGGAAACAAAGCAAAAGAGCAGTGGGGATAGAGGAAGGAGTCACTGCTTTGAAAAGAGGGATCCCAGTCAAAATAGAAGAGATGGGACTGAGGGACCACAGGCAATAGGAATGCCTGTGAGGGGAAAAATCAAGAGCACAGGATTTTATACAATGAGTAAGTTCAGTTATACAATGTGGCCATTCAGGTTTGACCTAGATCACATCCCTTATGAATATACAGTGGAGGTGAAGAATAGGTTTAAGGGACTAGATTTGATAGAGTGCCTGAAGAACTATGGACGGAGGTTCGTGACATTGTAAAGGAGGCAGCAATCATCACCATCCCAAAGAAAAAGAAATGCAAGAAAGCAAAGTGGCTGTCTGATGAGGCCTTACAAATAGCTGAGGAAAGAAGAAAAGCCAAAGGCAAAGGTGAAAAGGAAAGATTTACCCAGGTGAATGTAGATTTCCAGTGAACAGCAAAGAGAGATAAGGAGGCCTTCCTGAATGAACAATGCAAAGTAATAGAGGAAAACAATAGAATGGGAAGGACTAGAGATCTCTTCAAGAAAACTGGAGAAATCAAGGGAATGTTCCATACAAAGCTGGCCATGATAAAAGATAAAAATGGTAGGGACCTAACAGAAGCAGAAGAGATTAGGAAGAGGTGATAAGAATACACAGAAGAATTGTAGAAGGATATAAATGTCCTTGACAACCACAGCGGTGTGATCACTGACTTCGAGCCAGACATCTTGGAGTGCAAAGTCAAATTGGCATTAGAAAGCATTACTAACAACAAAACTAGTGGAGATGACGGTTTCCCAGCTGAGCTATTCAAAGTCCTAAAAGATTATTCTGTTAAAGTGTTGCACTTAATATGCCAGCAGATTTGGAAAATGCAGCAGTGGCCACAGGATTGGAAAAGGTCAGTTTACATTCCAATCCCAAAGAAGGGCAATGCCAAGGAATGTTCAAACTGTCACAGTTGCACTCATTTCACATGCTAGTAAATTCATGCTCAAGATCCTACAAGCTAGACTTCAGTAGTACAT